TTTTTTTTTTCCTTGTACTGGGGATTGAACCCAAGGGCACTTAACCACTGAGCCACATCCCCAATTCTTTTTTATATTTTTTTCAAACTTAGAGACAGGATCTTGCTAAGTTGCTGAGGCTGGTTTTGAACTCACAATCCTCCTGCCTCAGTCTTCCCAGCCACTGAGATTACAGGCATGTGCCACCACTCCCAATTTAAACTCTTAAAACTTGGAAAAAAGTTAACATAGAGGCAAGAATAAAGCAAATAAAACATTAGACATTTAAAATATTGTTATACTATAGACCTGTAAAAATCCATTGTAATTATATATAGAGGAGACTAAGGCAATAACCTTCATAATGACCTGGAGTTTACCTTGTGCCATTTGATTTTTTTTTTCTTTTGATACTGAGTTTGAGCCCAGGGCCCTTTACCACTGAGCTATATCCTCAGTCCCTTTTTTATTTTTTATTTTGAGACATGTTCTCACTAAATTGCTTAAGGTCTCACTCAGTTTCCCAGGCTGATTGCTGGGATTACAGGCGTGTGCCACTGTGTATACTTGTATGCCACTTTAAATCCTGTTGTGTGATAACTGAGAATGCATCACTGTCCAAGGAAGTTGTTTGCGATGTGTGGGACTATTTCATGCCTTGCTAATAATTTATAGTAAATTCGAACAATGAGAGCTATTTGTGTCCTCATATAAGTTCTTTTTAGTTGTGGGGATATATAAATTTTGTGTTGACAGTAAAGCGGGGGAGGATCCTGTGGAGGCTTACATACTAATTTAGGTTTGACTCCTTTTTTTAATTTTCAATTTTTATTTTGAAATACTTATACATTCATAAGAAATTACAAAATAAATTTAGAGAGGTCCCATGTACTTGTTTATGTRTGGGTATGAATGTGTATGGGGGTGTTCTGTGCTATGTTGTCACATGTATAGCTTCCCATAGTCATCAACCTAGTTGACATGCAAAACTGGTCATCACAGGGCTTCTTCCAGGCTATCCTGTTATAGCCATGCCTTCCCCCTTTTCTTGGCCACCACTAATTTATTCTGCCTCTCGATAATTTTTATTGTTTAAAGAATGTTATGTAAATAGTGTGTATAACCTTTTGAGACTAGATTTTTTTTTTTTTTACTTTGCATTATTCTCTGGAGATACATCAGGTCATTTTGTATATTGTTCCTTTTTATTAATAATGGATTTACCACAGTTTAACTATTGACAACATCTGGATTGGTTCTAGTTTGGTGCTATTGTGAATAAAATTGTCATGAAAATTCATGTAGTGGTTTTTGCACAAACAAATTTTCATTTCTCTAGAATAAATGCCCAAGAGTACAGTTGCTGGGTTGTAAGAGATTCATGGCTAGTTTTTGAAGAAATGGTAAACTGTTTTTTCAGAGTGGCTGCACCATTGACTTCTTTTTAATGAAAATGTAAGATAAGATGTTTATTATGTACTGTGAAATGTATCTGTTGATTTTTGGTAGCAATCTTATTGCCATTAGTATATCTGGTTGTTTCTGCGGGCCTCACTGAAGTCAGGTGGCATTTCCCTTTAGCCTTTGACTTGGGTGAGCCSAGTCAAATGCTCAACTCTGATGAGTCTTTTTGATGGTTTTGGCACTCAGAAAGAAACTCCCTCAGCTTCCACAAAACCCACATAAACTGCCCAAGTGAACTTCTCTTTACTTTCTTCCCTCCGGTTTCTTGAGGATTGGCCCTGATGTGAGCCCTGAATCCTATCTCTAAAGAATTTCTTCATTACCCTTATTTACTTATTTTTAAAAAAATTTAGTTATAGTTGGACACAATGCCTTTATTTGTTTGTTTGGTGCTGAGGATCGAACCCAGCACCTTGCTTATGCTAGGCAAGTACTCTACTGCTGAGCCACAACCCTAGCCTCCTTTCTTATTTTTTGATACTGGGGATTGAACCCAGGGATGCTTAACCTCTGAGCCATATCCCCATCCTTTTTATATTTTGAGACAAGGCCTTGCTTGAGTTGCTTAGGGCCTCACTAAGTTGTTGAGACTGGCTTTGAACTTTCAATCTTCCTGCCTCAGCCTTCCAAATTGGCTGGGATTATAGGCATGCACTATCAAGCCCAGTTTCACTACCTGTTCAGACTCATATAATTGTTTTCTAAGCATTAAAATATGCASAGTGTGCTCCCTCCCATCTTGAAAATTCTCTTCCTTTTGACCTCATCCATTGAATCCCTATCTGGCCACTCTTTCCCAGCCATACTTCTTGACTGCAGTCTCTATTCCACTGCCTTGTCTTCTGTTTACTTTCTAATATACCATGCTACAATCTAGCTTCTTTATTTGGCTAGACTTCCAAACTGGGATTTCCTTGCTGATGTCACCAGCAACCTTCTGGTACTCATTCTAATGAAGGTGTTTCAGTGTTGTTCTCTCTTGGACTCTAAGTAGCTTTTAGTGCTCATGATTACTGTCTGTGGAAATACTTTTTTCTTGCCTGCTGTCTCTTGGGCTGCTGCTTCTAGTTCTTGTTGGGGTCTCCCCTTTGCAGCTCCCTTAAATCTTGAGATTCCTCAGGGTTCTGCATAAGGCCATCTTCCCTCATTCTGGGTGATCTCATTCTTTCGCTTGGCTGCCTCCACATCTTGATCTGCATCTGGACCTTTCCTCTGAGTTCCAGATGCATATATCCATTGGCTTCCAAACTATATCTCCACCTAACTCTTACAGACTTCCCCAGTCACAACACATTTAAAATGGAATTCTCTCCCCAGCACCTTTGCCTCTTAAAAAGAAAAACCCTGATTCTTTCTGCAGGGAGGTACCAGAGTGTTAATACCACAATCCAACAGTGGGAGTGCCATTAAAATCCACCTGCACTTAATTGAGTTGCTGGGTCAGTCAGAATTACCCATTCTCCATTCACTGTGCCAGGCATTCCAGACCCACGATTGTTACCCACAGTCTTAGTGAATAAATGTGCCTTTTTAATATTTATTTTTTAGTTGTACATAAAACCCTTTATTTTATTGATTTTTATGTGATGCTGAGTATTGAACCCAGACCTTGCACGTGCTAATTGAGCGCTCTACTGCTGAGTCACAACTCCAGCCCATAAACATGCTGTTTTATTTTAACTAAAAATGTGTACATATGTATCATCTTGTGCCTACTTTTTATACACATACATACATATATATGTGTGTGTATACACACACACACACACACACACAATTTTTATTTTTTGGCACTGGGAATCAAACCCAGAGGTACTTAACCACTGAGCCACATCCTTAGCCCTATTAAATATTTTATTTAGAGTTGTTTAGGGCCTCACTAAGTTGCTGAGGCTGGATTTGAACTCTCAATCCTCTCGCCTCAGCCTCCTGAGCTGCTGGGATTACAGGTGTGCACCACTGTGCCTGTCATTTCCTTCACGTTATTTGTACTCRCCCTGTCTGATAAGGACTTCTATTGCCTCCCTCAGTGATTAGCCGTTTTTCTCCATTACTGCTACCTCTGGTCACCATGTTCTCTGATTTCCTACTTCAGTTTCCCAGCTGGATGTCTGCTCCGAGTTTTGCACTTGCTCCAGTCCCTTCTCCATGGAGCTAGCAAGAACCACTGAAAGTACAAACTTGATCATTTTACCCTTTTGCTATAAACCCCATAAAATCCAGATCCCTTAAACTACTTGATAAGGAAACTTATATCTGGTTTCTGCTTATGTCTCTAGTCTCATATAATTTTGTTCTGTCATTTCCTTCTCTCAAACTACACTGTAGTTAGGTTGACAGGCTTTCGCAGTTCATTTGGGGTGGTGAGATATGTGTGTGAGTTGGTGGGGGCAGCGCCATGCTTTCTCATCTCTGTGTCTTTATGTAGTGTTCCTCTGCCAGGAACTTCAGTTCCTATCTTTTACCCAGAATTGARCTTATTTTTTCCTGAATCCCTTCCTGTGTGTTTTTATAAAAACAACATCCTGATTTCCTTGTTCTAACATTTATCTCGGTGTAGTTAATTGCCTGTATTACCTTTAAGACAATTAGGCCATAAGTTCTGTATAGATGAGGTTCACTCAGTAATCTTGTTTACCATAGTCTCTATAAATACTTGAGTAAACAGATGGTATTTTTTGACTAGCAGTGGGCTCTCTGAAAAACAAGTAGAATGTTTTGCTTTTTTTGTAGTTGCTGTCTCTGCTGGCATTCATCTGTGAAGAAGTTGTATCACAATGCACATTGTGTGGAGGACTTTACTTTTTTGAATTTGTAAGCTGCAGTGCCTTCCTTCTGAGTCTCCTTCTGCTGATTGTGTATTGTACTCCAGTGTATGACAGAGTTGATAACACAAAAGTAAAATCATCGGTAAGTGTGAAAAAATAAAATCCCTGTATTAAGAGCTTAGCTGTTTTGATCTTGGTTTTATTGTTCAAAGTAGGTATGCTTTTAAAACTCAGCACCATGAAAAGACACTGTGTGGGGCTGAGGGTGTGGCTCAGTGATAGAGTGCTTGCCTAGCATGCATGAGGCACTGGGTTTGATCCTCAGAACCACATAAATGTAAAATGAAGGTATTGTGTCCACCTAAAACTTAAAAAATAACTATTAAAAAAAAAAGAAAAGAAAAGACCCTATGCATTATTCCAACTCCCTGTCTCTAAAGCAACTCAATTTTTCCTGCCAAGGGAATGTTAGTGAAAGTGGGATTAGAGGGATTAGAATGACAGTGACAAACATTGCCAGTATTTTATAGTTATTGGTGGTTTAATCTAATGTACAGTAGACTTTTTTTTTTTTTGGTACCAGGGATTGAGCCCAGGTGCGCTTAACCACTGAGCCACATCCCCAGCCCTTTTTGTTTATTATTTGGAGTCAGGGTCTCTAAGTTGTTTAGAGCTTCGCTAAGTTGCTGATGCTGGCTTTGAACTCATGATCCTCCTGCCTCAGCTTCCCGAGTTGCTGGGATTATAGGCATGTGCCACCACACCTGGCAGCCTTTTTTTTTAAAAAAAAAAAAAAAACAAAAACCTAGATTTGTCACTCTTTATTTTCCACATTTCAGAGTGTCACTCATTTGTTTACAGTTATGAATTGTGTGCCTGTTATGTTCCAGACATATGCTAACATTAGAGATAGAGTTATGAACTAATTTATTTCTTGGGCTTTTAAATAAAGTAAAATTTTATTTAAAACTGTCATTCTAATGTATAATCCTGTTTATATTTTGCTTTCATTTTATTATGAAGAAAATTGTAAGTGAATTTAAGAATGAGTTTGTTAGGTGGGTGTTGTGGCACACRCCTGTAATCCCAGTGATTTAGGAGGCTGAGGCAGGAGGTTCACAGGTTTGAGGCCAGCTTGGGCAACTTAATGAGACTCTGTCTCAACATGTAGCTCAGTGGTAGAGCACCCCTGAGTTTAATCTCTAGTACGATAGAGAAATTACCCTTACAATAAAATTATAGTGGGAAAGTCTTGTTTTCCAATATTGGAAGTGCTTAACTTTCTAGATAGTCTACTAATCCTTTGTTTTTATTTGAGTATAGTTTGGATTTGTGGGATGACAGATGAAATAGTTTACAGAAAGTACTGAATTTAAGAAAGAAATCATTGATAAATTTATTTCTTCAGTATGTTTGGGTTTGTGAAGAATTGTGCATGTCAGGGTTGAGGTATAAAAGGATATATATCTTTGAGGATAAAGATAAAAATTATGGTATATTTTAAATTATTAAGGCCAAGAGATAATGGTGTAAAAAGAAAGCAGCAAGATTCTATTGTTTTAAATTAATGAGAAGCAAGCACAGGGTCATGTATTGGTTATCTTAAGATATTTACCTTTTTTTTTTCCTTTTTTGTTTTGCAGTGCTGGGGTTTTGTATACCCTTTATATAAAGAAATTTTATGCTTTAGGAATCTGTTACCTTTTTWAAAAAWTTTTTTTCTCTTTTTGTAGTTGTAGATGGACCACATGCCTTTATTTTATGTTTATTTTTATGTGGTGCTGTGGATTGAGCCCCGTGCTTACACATGGTAGGCAAGTGTTCTGCCATTGAGCTACAGCCCCAGCCCAGGAATTCATTACCTTTTAAAAAAAAAAAATTAGAAAAAGTTGATGTCAAACAGTTAAATATAACTTTGAATCAAGTTTTTGATTAACCCATACTTAACAGTTCTTGGTATGACCAATATATGACTGTACTATAATCATGTCCAGCACTTGACGTGCTATGATTTAGAATTCTTCTATTTGATGCTCCATTTTTATGTTGAGGATATTTAGGTTCAGAGTGGTTAAGTAACTGTCTAAAGTTAACACAGCTAGAGTGAAGTGAATTTGAACTCAGGGAAAGCCCTCATGTTGTATATTCTCTCATGTGATCTAGGCAGAATCCTATTAGAACCAAGGACCTGATAACTTCAGGGCTGTCATGGCAAATRCCATCACTGTAGAAATCTCTGTATAACAATGGCAACAGACCCACTTTTAAATGAAATACATATTAAGAAAAATTTYGGACAAAACCTTAGGATTTTTAATTGTATTTATTATGATTAATTGTATTAATTATATTATTTAAAAAGTTTTTATAGTTGTAGATGGACAGCATGTCTTTATTTTTTCATTTTTATGTGGTGCTAAGGATTGAACCCCATTCCTCACACATGCTAGGCAAGTTCTCTGCACTGGGCTTTGGCCCCAGCCCTAATTGTATCCTTTTTTATTTTTTTAGTTGTAGTTGAATTCAATACCTTTATTTTATTTATTTATTTTTATGTGGTGCTGAGGATTGAACCCAGGGCCTTGCATGTGCTAGGCGAGCGCTCTACCGCTGAGCCACAACCCCAGCCCCTAATTGTATTCTTTTTTTTTTTTAAAGAGAGAGTGAGAGAGGAGAGAGAGAGACAATTTTTTTTTTAATATTTATTTTTTAGTTCTCGGCGGACACAACATCTTTGTTGGTATGTGGTGCTGAGGATCGAACCCGGGCCGCACGCATGCCAGGCGAGCGCGCTACCGCTTGAGCCACATCCCCAGCCCCCCCTAATTGTATTCTTACAATTAAGAATTTCCTTTGAAAATTCTTCTTTTTCACAGAAAAGTATGCCTTTGGAGTGACTATCATATTACCAGTTTTCCTCTCTGTCAAGCACTGTTTTCAGTTGGCAAGTGAGAGCTTTCCTAGGCAGTGCCATAAAGAGCACTTTGCAACCCATGAAGCACCTCATGGTTCTAAGCGGTGTTATGATGAGATATGGAAGCTCTTATGTGGAAGATAAGCTCATCACGYACACTTACTTTGGATTACCCACTTGGAACAGTTAAGGATAATATGTTATTCCAAAAAGCTCCAGTGTCTAAAACACTATTGACATAAATCTAATTAGATAGATGGTTCTTTTGATTTTTCTCTTTTCCAGAGTGTTATTGAAGTACTTTGAGAGATGTCATTCTAGCATAGAATACTTTAAAAGGAAGGAATTTTTTTTTTCTTCTGGAAATGAAATGAAATTGCAACAAATTCTTGGATTGTGATAATTCTTTTTGGAGGAACTTTCTAATAAAGGATTATTTTGGGGGGACTTTCTGTTAAAAGATTATCTTTTTGGGGGACTTTCTATTAAAAGATTATCTGTACTCTTTCAGTATGACCAGTTCAAAGTATGGGTGGTGTTTTGAATGCCAGGCTTATTGGAAAGTTATAAGTTAGGGTATGTAAATTGGGTCATTGTCAAGAAAAAAGTAAGTCATTCAGGTTTTTGAAAATTAAAATTTAGGAACTTTGTTTTTATGAATCTAATTATGTTGTCTTCCTTATGTGTTTTATATTTATGCATAGGATTTTTACATTACATTGGGAACAGGATGTGTATTTTTGTTGGCATCTATCATTTTTGTTTCTACCCATGACAGAACCTCAGCTGAAATTGCTGCAATTGTAAGTATTTAGTATTTTTTAACTTTGCTTTTTTTTTGTTTCCTTAAAAATATAGAAGTTTGAAAAAATACTTGACAGGTTTTACAATATGTGAGAGTAATTTGTCCTTATTTTTTAATGTAATTTTGAATAGAAGATCTAAAATTAAATAAACATTATAGCTTTAAAAACCTAGAATTTAATTGAGTCTTGTTAAAAAAAATTCCATCTACTCCACATATGAATATATTATGCTAATRGAAGTGATAAAATTGACTTTATCATATTTTACCTCTCTTTAGTTCTTCAGAAGCGTAAATGAATTGGGGGGCTAAGGCAGGAGGATTGCAAGTCTGAGGTCAGCCTTAGACCCTGTCTCAAAATACAAAATAAAAAAGGACTGTGGGTGTAGCCCAGTGGTAGAGTACTCCTGGRTTAAATCCCTAGTATCACAAAAAATAATCAAAATTAAAATTAAAAAAAGCATAACTACATTCCAGATGCTGTTCTAGGTGTAGAAAAATACTCAGGAGAAATGACTCAAAGGTTCAGCCTAATAAACAAAATAGAAAGGGAAACAAATTGTGACAGAATATGTTAAATGAACCAATAGAAGTTTGTCTAGACAGTAGTCTTCAGTGAACTATGCCTGTACTTAAAATTTTAGCAAAACTTTCTGAGGAGTACTAGTTAGGAATAGTTTTTGAGGAAATCAATTACCAGGATTTTAACCTTCACATATAATTTTTCTTAAAACTAATAAGAATTCACCTCTGGAAGAGACTAGCCAGTTCTTTTCTACCTTCCCTTCTACAATTACCATCCCCACTCCAAAAGAAAAATGTACTTGTCCCCAGTGTTACTATGGTACATTACTCTGAGTTGTAAAACAAGCAAAAGAAAATAAAAAACCTTTGTGAACAACAAAGGGATGATTGAAAATAAAGATCTAGTATTGTTGTTTTTTTTTTTTTTTTTTTTTTTTTTGGTATTGGGAATTGAACCCAGGGATGCTTAACTACTGAACCATATCCCCAGCCCTTTTTTATATTTTATTATTATAATTGTTATAAGACAGGGTCTCACTAAATTGCCTAGGGCTTCTCTAAGTTTCTGAAGCTGGCTTTGAACTTATGATCCTCCTGCCTCAGCCTTCCAAGCTGCTGGGATTACAGGCAGGTATCACTGCACCTGGCAAGGTTCAGTTTTTATCTGAAATCATTGGGAGTAGGTTTGTTTTAAGAATTCAGAATATTCTGGATTTTAGAAAGTTAATGCTCCTCCTGTACTGTGTTACCCTTTAGAGGGCCTAGTACAGCACTCTATAATCCAACGTTAGTATTTCTGAAGCAAAATGAGAATATTTACAATAAAAGGAGTAAGAAAGACTGTGAATAATCTTATTATGTGTCACTTTTGAGTCAAATGAATCCTGAAAGCTTTGAGTTTTTGTAGCTTTTGGGGTTTCAGAATTGCAAATCAAGGATCACGGACCTGAACTGGTACCAGTGTTATGCATGTGAACGACTAATGATGGGATAATACATCCTTTTGCAAGCCATCTAGTTTCTAGTTAGTACTTTGTTTTTAATGAAATTGAAGTTGCAATTAGTAGTTGTCAGCTAATAGATCATTAAAACCACTTTTTATGACAGAACAGTAGAAGAGGATTTCAAAGAATTGTATGGCTATATCTACCTATTCATGTGATCATAATTTCTTAGCTCTTTACACCTATAAAAACAAAACAGATAAAATTATTGTTGAACCTTGACTCATTCTAGCAATGAATAATATCTATCCAAGGATACACAAACCATTTGGAGAGAAAAACCAAAGTTTTAATAGGGTCTTATGGTTAATTTTAGTTTGTATACATATTGTTATTGCAGAGAAGTGTGATAGGGTGATTATTATTAATTATTATACTTATGGGTTCGATCCTAAGCACCACATAAAAATAAATAAATAAAACAAAGGTATTGTGTCCAACTAAAACTAAAAAATAAATATTTAATATATATATATAAAATCATAAAATTCTGTGGGGTAAGTGAAATGAAGTTGAATACTTGAGTTCTAAGGGAATATAAAAAAAGCATGACATAAAATCCTCAGCTGTTAAAAAAAAATTGTTTTTTATTTAGATAATGCATTAGAATGTTACAGTAGTTAGATTTCACTGGGCATATTTAATAGTGACTCATGGTTTAAAAAGTCAGTATTTATAGTAAACTGAAGTTACCTTTTGCAATTATTTTGGGGAGGGGATTACTGAGGATTGAACCCAGGGATGCTTTACCACTGAACTACATCTCCAGCTCTTTTTGATTTCTTTCAAGGCAGGGTCTGGTTCAGTTAACTGASACTGGCCTTGAACTTGCGATTSTCCTGCCTCAGCTTCCTAAGTCATTAAGATTATAGGTGTGTGWGACTACTCCTGGCCCTTCTGCAACTATTCAAGTTATGAATAGACTTAAAAGAGTGAGAGAGACATTAAAAATAAAAAAGGGAACTATGTGAACAAAGGAGCTGGCAGATCACTTGTCTGGATTACATAATATAGAGGCCCCTCTGTGGACTAGAGCTTTCTGAGGTGGTCAGAGATAGTTTGACAGACAAGGGGACATCTTTTATGCATTTGAAATATTCAAAGTTTCCTAAGCAAGTAAGGTAATAGATGTTATCAAATAAAAATAAAGACTTCAGAGTGAGAAAGACTTGGGTTTGAGGGTTGGGTTGGGTTGATAATTTTTTTTTTTTTTTGTACTGGGAATTGAAAATAGGGGGGCTTAACCATTGAGCTACATCCCCAGCCACCTCCCCCCCCTTTTTTTTTGAGACTGGGTCTCACTAAGTTTTTGAGACTGCCCTCAAACACAAGAGTCTCCTGCTTCAGCCTCCCGAGTTGCTGGGATTACAGGCTTGCGCCTGGCTTTGATAAATAGATTTAGGTTGAATATGTTGGATATATCCAGGTGAATTAATTTGGAGTTTAATAATTTGCTATATGATGAAATGGGACAGAATGCATATTCATTTTTAAAAAAAATTTGTTAGTTATACGTGGACACAATTCCTTTATTTATTTTTTATTTTTATTTGGTGCTGTGGATAGAACCCAGTGCCTCACATGTTCGAGGCATTCACTCTGCACTGAGCCACAACCCTAGCCCAGAATGCATATTCTTTAGAGTGGAGAGGGGTTGAGGATGGTGAGGGTCAGGAGACGGCAACATATAGTTAACAGAATGTTAAGAATTAATGAGGTGGAATGTTAGAGTTGCAGGAGACATGAACCATCACCCAGTGCAATTTCTCTTTTACTTTTTGGCCCCTGTTTCCATAAGGGTTTTGCTAGGGAAGAAGCGAAATTTGAGCATGGTCTGACTCTTGACAGAATTCTCAGAATGTTTGATCATATGTTAGAAGAGTACAATGAGGAAGTAATTTTAAGGAAGAGGAAGTAGGTAGTGGCATCATGTGTTGTCATTTTACGATGGGACAATTAACTGGAAGTTAGATAATTTAATCTCATATCTTCAAAATGCAATTTGTTTTAATATTAATTACTCTATCCATTTTTACCTAGGTTGAGTTGTCTACTCACATATTTACCTAATCATGAATGTGGGTTAGTCTTAACACTGTTAATAATACTCTATTTTGTATCATTTTATGGGTTCCTGTTTTTCCTCTACTCACCTTAGTTTCATAGATTGTTGCCCCACCCATATACATACATATATAAGATATGCATTTGAATTTTGTGGGACTTTATCTAATAGCTGTTATTCTGGAAATTCTTCTTTTGTAACTTCTTTCCTTTTTTGTTCCTTTTTTTTTTTTTTTTTTTTTTTGGTACCTGGGATTGATTGAACCAAGGGCACTTAACCACTGAACCACATCCCCAGCCCTTTTTATGTTTTGTTTAGAGGCAGGGTCTCACTGAGTTACTTAGACTTTTGCTAAATTGCTGATCCTGGCTTTGAACTCATGATCCTCCTGTCAGCCTCCCAAGCTGCTGGGATTACAGTTGTGCACCACCATGCCCGGCTTCTTTCCATTTTTTTGATAGCTTTAAAAAGTTATTTTATCGTTAAAAAGTAGTAGGTATAAGAAAAAAAATTGAAAAAAAAAAGATAAAATTGATAAATCATCTTGCTTGTATGAAGCACTCTCAGAATCATGTGGGAAATGTGAAATTGTATTCCACAAGTTCTTATTGTAACCTTTTCTCCTTTTTTCTCCTCAGGCGTTTGGATTTCTAGCAAGTTTTATGTTTCTGTTTGACTTTGGTGCTATGCTTTTTGAAAAGCTACAGGAGTCCCAGCTGAGGAAACCTGAGAATACCACTCGAGCAGAAGCCCTCACTGAACCCCTTAATGCCTAAAGACTCTGGGGAGCAGGTGTTACACAGGATGGTGACTCTTGGTGGTGATGCCTGAGCTCTGGCAGAAGGTCCTGTAGAATTTGTGTAATTGCTTAAACCACTTCTTTGGAGAATTGGAGGAATAGCAGGAAGGCAGGTTTATCAATATTAGGCTGTGTGTCAGTCACCACAGTCTAGAGTAGAGGTTTTTTTTTTTTTTTTAATTGTTAAAAAACAAAACAAAACTTAAAACTTAAAACTTGTGTTATGGAGTTTGTCTTTTTTTTGAGGAGAAGGACCGTAGTTTAAATCACACAGCTCAACTGAGGATAAATGATTCTGTCTTTCTGTTACAGGGCATTCTCTTATTAGTCTTAGCTTCCAAATTATGCTTTATAGCTGTATAAACAGCATGATTATATTCATTTATTTAGAAATTGTTTCATTCTTAAATTAATTTGCTTAGATATTAGTATTTTTATTAGATTATGTTCTGTTAATGGAAATTTAATGTATATTTTAAGAGACCAATATTTTAAATGTTGGTCTAGGTTTTTTCTTTACTATGTAATACTTGGCTTTACTGTATCTCACTCAGCCTTAAAATTATATGGTAACATTTTAGGATAATTATTAACTCTTTCTGAGACCTTTGTATAGCTTAATATAAAATATCTGGGAGCTGTTGGTATTTTATGTGTAAAAGCAGCAGCAGCCTCATGTTTAAACTGCACTTTGTTGAGATCAGGTTTAAAAAAATGATTGTTATGTAACACAGAAAAATTGAAGAAACTGATATTATACCTAAGGACCAAAGAAAAGAAAGRTAGATTTTTTACTTAGTACAATAATTATAAAAACAGGCTTCAACCACTTCCCATGTATGTGAAGAACTGAATTTATACTATGAGTTAGAAAAAAGGGCTGTTACCCTGTTGGCATGTGATCATTTCTATTTAATGCAGCTCTGTGGGTCCTTTTTAGATCACTTTGAGCAAGTCTTCTTTTTAAAACCCCAGCCTTTGATTTTTCATCTGTTTGAGATGCTTCCTTTTCTGTCTCATCACAATGGTCCACATGCTGCTTCATCATCTGACAGAGGTGGGCCTCTTCCTTGTTAGTTTTCTTTAGGTGTGAAAGTGTGTAGCAGGAGCCTTAGGATCCTTGTTCCCACAAGAAGAAGATATCTTAAGAAAGTGAATGTCAAGGAACTTGACCAGGTGAATACTGTCGATGATGTAAGGGAGTAGTCAAACCATTCTCAAGAGATTTCAGTTCTGATAATTTGAAAGAATTGTCTTTTGCTCGCTGTCTTATAGTCACACACACAGGGCACTTGAGATAGGACTTTGTTGAGATCAGTCCTTTCTGCCCAAGTCATACAGAGTAGACCTTTTTTGTTCTGGACCAGAGACTCCAGTATTAAGGTCATGAACCCAGAAGTCACATCCTTTCGTATTTTGGTGGAGGATTCCTCGGCTAGGTTTTCTCTCTACAGCAGTGGAATCATGTTTCCAGTGATTCGGTTAATGACCACATTCTTTTTAGTTTCTCAGCTGCCATTTGAATGTTGTAGATAGGTTTTAGTTGCATGCACATGGCTGTTGTGGTTCTCAAAAATTGGTCAGACTGGGCAGATACAGCCTCTGCTCTGTRTTACAAGGTCGGTTTCTTATTCATCTGTATCCTATTTTAGATGCTAGTATTAGTGATGATGTCACTATTACTTGGGATATAATGAAATCAGTCATGGATTCTGTTTTTATTGGGTATGTCATCTAAAAGAGGAGAAATAGCTGGGTCTTAGGTCCAAGAATGATGACTGATTTAAAGAAAAAAAAATTTATGGTAGGCAGTTGTAGAATTTCAGATCATACTGTGTACTCTTGTCATTTTAAATGTCATCTATACCCATATAGAATTCACAGCAAATTGACTGGGCTACCTCAGTTTTACCACCTGTGTTAGTCATCTTTCTGTTGCTATAACAAAATACCCGAGAAAATAAACTGAAAAAGAAGAAATGGTTATTTGGGATTACAGTTTTGGAGG